TTTATTTATTTGCCCTTTTTCTTGTCTCCCATTTTTATTTCTTTGCCCTTTTTCTTGTCTCCCATTTTTCTTTCATTGCCCTTTTTCTTGCTTCCCATTTTTATTTCTTTGCCCTTTTTCTTGCTTCCCATTTTTATTTCTTTGCCCTTTTTCTTGCTTCCCATTTTTATTTCTTTGCCCTTTTTCTTGTCCCCCATTTTTATTTCTTTGCCCTTTTTCTTGGTTCCCATTTTTATTTCATTGCCACTTTTCTTGTCTACCATTTTTATTTCATTGCCTCTTTTTCTTGTCTACCATTTTTATTTCTTTGCCCTTTTTCTTGTTTACCATTTTTATTTCTTTGCCCTTTTTCTTGCTTCCCATTTTTATTTCATTGCCCCTTTTCTTGTCTCCCATTTTTATTTCATTGCCCCTTTTCTTGTTTCCCATTTTTATTTTTTTGCCCTTTTTCTTGTCTCCCATTTTTCTTTCTTTGCACTTTTTCTTGTCTCCCAGGTTTTTCTTAATACATTTCTTTGCTAGTATTTTTTCTTGCTTCCCACTCAGGTTTTGCTTTATTTGCCCTTTTTCTTGCTTCCCATTTTATTTCATTGCCCTTTTTCTTGTCTCCCATTTTAATTCATTGACAACTTTTCTGGTCTACGTGATTTTTATTTCAGGATTTTGCCCTTTTCTTGTTTTACCATTTTATTTCTGACAATCGAGAGCCTTTTTCTTGTTTACAATTTTTATTTTTTATCCTTTTTTTCTTTTCTCCCATTTTTATTTCTTTGCAGTTTTCTTGCTTCCCATTTTTATTTCATTGTTCAAGATTTTTCTTGCATAATTGTGTTGATTTCAATTTTTATTTCATTGTCCCTATTTGTTCTTGTTTCCCATGTTTTTATTTATTTGCTTATTTCTTTTGCCCCCCTTTTTTATTTCATTGACCAGATCCCTTTTCTTGTCTCCCATTTTATTTCTTTTCGCTGCTGAGGCATTTTCTTGTCTCCCAGTTTTTTATTTCTTTGCACCTTTTCTTGCAATGTTTAAACCCATTTCTATTAGTTTGCCCTTTTTCTTGCTTCTAAGAAACCAGCCAAGCGGTTTTTTATTTCTTTTGCCCCTTTTCTTGTCTCCATTTTATTTCATTTTTGCCCTTTTCTTATATACCATTTTTATTTCTTTGCACCTTTTTTCTTCGACAACCTTCCCATTTTATTTCTTTGCCCTTTTTCTTGTTTACCATTTTATTTCTTTAGGATACTGTCCAAAGACTTTTTTTCTTGTTTACCATTTTATTTCTTTGCCCTTTTCTTGTCTCCCATTTTTATTTCTTTTGCCCTTTTCTTGGTTCCCATTTTATTTCATTGCCCTTTTCTTGTCTCCCATTTTAATTTCTTTTGAACTTTTCTTGTCTCCCATTTTTATTTCATTTTTTTTTGTCTCCCATTTTTATTTCATTGTCCTTTTCTTGTCTCCCATTTTCTTTCTTTGCCCAAAGAAGGTTTTTTTCTTGTTTACCATTTCTATTAGTTTGCCCTTTTTCTTGTCTTCCATTTTTATTTCTTTGCCCTTTTTCTTGTTTACCATTTCTATTAGTTTGCCCTTTTTCTTGCTTCCCATTTTTATTTCTTTGCCCTTTTTCTTATCTCCATTTTTATTTCTTTGCCCTTTTTTCTTGCTTCCCATTTTTATTTCTTTGCCTTTTTTCTTGTTTACCATTTTTATTTCTTTGCTTTTTTTTCTTGCTTCCCATTTTTTATTTCCTTGCCCTTTTCTTGTCTCCCATTTTACTTCTTTGCCTTTTCTTGTTTTACCATTTCTATTAGTTTGCCCTTTTTCTTGCTTCCCATTTTTAGTTCTTTGTCCTTTTCTTGTCTCCATTTTTATTTCTTTTGCCCTTTTTCTTGTTTACCATTTTTTATTTCTTTGCCCTTTTCTTGCTTCCCATTTTTATTTCCTTGCCCTTTTTCTTGTCTCCCATTTTTTATTTCTTTGCCTTTTTTCTTGTTTACCATTTCTATTAGTTTGCCCTTTTCTTGCTTCCCATTTTTATTTCTTTGCCCTTTTCTTATCTCCCATTTTTATTTCTTTGCCCTTTTCTTGCTTCCAAAATTTTATTTCTTTTGCCCTTTGACTTGTTTACCATTTTATTTCTTTGCTTTTTTTCTTGCTTCCCATTTTTATTTCATTGCCCTTTTTCTTGTCTCCCATTTTTATTTCTTTGCCATTTTTCTTGTCTCCCATTTTTATTTCTTTGCCCTTTTTCTTGGTTCCCATTTTTATTTCATTGCCCTTTTTCTTGTCTCCCATTTTTATTTCTTTGCCACTTTTCTTGTCTCCCATTTTTATTTCATTGCCTTTTTTTTGTCTCCCATTTTTAATTCATTGTCCTTTTTCTTGTCTCCCATTTTTCTTTCTTTGCCCTTTTTCTTGCTTCCCATTTTTATTTCATTGCCCCATTTTTGTCTCCCATTTTTATTTCATTGCCCCTTTTCTTGTTCCCCATTTTTATTTCATTGACTCTTTTCTTGTTTACCATTTTTATTTCTTTGCCCTTTTTCTTGTTTACAATTTTTATTTCTTTGCCCTTTTTTCTTTTCTCCCATTTTTATTTCTTTGCTCTTTTTCATGCTTCCCATTTTTATTTCTTCTTCGTTTTTCTTGCTTCCCATTTTTATTTCATTGTCCTTTTTCTTGCTTTCAATTTTTATTTCATTGCCCTTGTTCTTGTTTCCCATTTTTATTTATTTGCTTATTTCCTTTTTCCCTTTTTTATTTCATTTCCCCTTTTTCTTGTTTTACCATTTTCTATTAGTTTGCCCTTTTTCTTGCTTCCCCCATTTTTTATTTCTTTGCCCTTTTTCTTGTCTTTTATTTTTTTTATTTTTTTGCTGGTTTTTTCTTGTATCATATTTTTATTTTTTGCCATTTTTTTTCTTGCTTCCCATTTTTATTTATTTTGCCTTTTTCTTGTCTCCCATTTTTATTTCTTTTGCCTTTTTCCCATTTTTTACCATTTCTATTAGTTTTTTGCCCTTTTCTTGTCTCCATTTTTTATTTCTTTGCCTTTTTTCTTCCTTTTACCATTTTTTATTTTTTTGCCCTTGTCTCCCATTTTTCTTGCTTCCCATTTTTATTTCTTTGCCCTTTTTCTTGTCTCCCATTTTATTTCTTTTGCCTTTTTTTTTCTTATCTCCCATTTTTATTTCTTTTGCCCTTTTTTGCTTCCCATTTTATTTTCTTTTGCCTTTTTCATTTTGTTTTACCATTTTTATTTCTCTTTTTTTTTTTTCTTGCTTCCATTTTTATTTCTTGCCCTTTTTCTTGTCTCCCATTTTACTTCTTTTGCCCTTTTTCTTGTTTACCATTTCTATTAGTTTGCCCTTTTTCTTGCTTCCCATTTTATTTCTTTTCCTATTTTTTTTCTTTTGACTCCCATTTTTTTTTTTTTGCCCATTTTTTTCTTGTCTACCATTTTATTTCTTTTCCTTTTTTCTTGTTTACCATTTCTATTAGTTTGCTTCCCATTTTTTTTCTTGCTTCCCATTTTATTTCTTTTTGTCTCCTTTTCTTATCTCCCATTTTTATTTCTTTTTGCCCTTTTTCTTTGCTTCCCATTTTTCTTTTTTTTTGCCCTTTTTCTTGCTTCCCTTTTTCCATTTTTTATTTGCCATTTTTCTTGTTTTTCTTGTCTCCTTTTTTTAATTCATTGACTCTTTTTTTCTTGTCTACCATTTTTATTTCTTTGACCTTTTTCTTGTTTACAATTTTTATTTCTTTGCCCTTTTTTCTTTTCACCCATGTTTATTTCTTTGCTCTTTTTCTTGCTTCCCATTTTTATTTCTTTGCCGTTTTTCTTGCTTCCCATTTTTATTTCATTGTCCTTTTTCTTGCTTTCAATTTTTATTTCATTGCCCTTGTTCTTGTTTCCCATTTTTAATTATTTGCTTATTTCCTTTTTCCCTTTTTTATTTCATTGCCCTTTTTCTTGTCTCCAATTTTTATTTCTTTGCTCTTTTTCTTGTCTCCTATTTTTATTTCTTTGCCCTTTTTCTTGTTTAACATTTCTATTAGTTTGCCCTTTTTCTTGCTTCCCATTTTTTTTTATTTATTTTTGCCCATTTTTTCTTGTCTCCCATTTTTATTTCTTTGCCTTTTTTTTTCTTATATCTTTTTTTTATTTCATTTTTTTGCCCTTTTCTTGCTTCCCATTTTATTTTTTTGCCCTTTTTTCTTGTCTCCTTTTTTTTTTATTTCTTTGCCTTTTTCTTGACTTTTTTATTTTTTTTTTTTTGCCATTTTTTTCTTGTCTCCCCATTTTTTTTTTATTTCTTTGCCCTCTTTTTTCTTTTTTTTTTACCATTTCTATTAGTTTGCCCTTTTTTCTTGTCTCCCATTTTTTATTTCTTTGCCCTCTTTCTTTATTTTACCATTTCTATTAGTTTGCCCTTTTTCTTTTTTGTCTTCATTTTTTTTTTATTTCTTTTGCCCATTTTTTTTCTTGCCCTTTTACCATTTCTATTAGTTTGCCCTTTTTCTTGCTTCCCATTTTTATTTCTTTGCCTTTTTTTTTTCTTGTCTCATTTTTTATTTTTTTATTTCTTTGCCCTTTTTTTTATCTCCCATTTTTTTTTTTTTGCTCTTTTCCTTTTTTTTTGCTTCTGTTTTTTTTTTTATTTCTTTGCCCTTTTTTTTCTTGTTTACCATTTTTATTTCTTTTTAATTTTTTTTTTTCTTGCTTCCCATTTTTATTTCCTTGCCTTTTTTCTTGTCTCCCATTTTTTATTTCTTGTTCCCATTTTGCCCTTTTTCTTGTTTACCATTTCTATTAGTTTGCCTTTTTTCTTGCGTCCCATTTTTATTTCTTTGCCCTTTTTCTTATCTCTCATTTTATTTCTTTGCCCTTTTTCTTGCTTCACATTTTTATTTCTTTGCCCATTTTTTTCTAGCTTCCCATTTTATTTCTTTGCCCTTTGACTTGTTTTTACCATTTTTATTTCTTTTGCTTTTCACCCATGTTTTTTTTCTTGCTTCCATTTTTATTTCATTGCCCTTTTTTCTTGTCTCCCATTTTTATTTCTTTTGCCATTTTTCTTGTCTCCCATTTTTATTTCTTTGCTCTTTTTCTTGTTTACCATTTTTATTTCTTTTGCCCTTTTTCTTGTCTCCCATTTTTATTTCTATTGTTTTTTTTTCTTGTTTAACATTTTATTTCTTTTTTTTTTTCTTGCTTCCCATTTTTTTTATTTCCTTGCTTTTTTTTTCTTGTCTCCCATTTTTTTTTTATTTCTTTGCATTTTTTTATTTTCCTTTTTCCTTTTTTATTTCATTGCCCTTTTCTTGCTTCCCATTTTTATTTCTTTTTTTGCCCATTTTTCTTGTCTCCCATTTTTATTTTTTTGCCCTTTTCTTACCTCCCATTTTTATTTAGTTTGCCCTTTTTCTTGCTTCCCATTTTTATTTCTTTGCCCTTTTTCTTTTCTCCATTTTACCATTTGCCCTTTTCCTTCCCTTTTGCCCTTTTCTTCTCTCCCATTTTTTTATTTCTTTTTTCCCATTTTTTCTTGCTTTTTTTACCATTTCTTTTAGTTTGCCCTTTTCTTCTCTCCCATTTTTATTTTTTTTGCCCTTTTTCTTGTTTTTTATTTCTTTGCCCTTTTTCTTGCTTCCCATTTTTTTTTTTTCTTTCTCCCATTTTTATTTTTTCTTTTTTACCATTTTTTTTATTTTTTGCGTCCCATTTTTTATTTTTTTTTTTCTTGCTTCCCTTTTTTTTTCCCATTTTTATTTCCTTGCCTTGTTCCCATTTTTATTTTTTCTTTTGTCTCCCATTTTTTATTTCTTTGCCCCATTTTATTTTTTCTTGTTTACCATTTCTATTAGTTTGCTTTTTTTTTCTTGTCTTCCATTTTTATTTCTTTTGCCCCTTTTCTTGTTTACCATTTCTATTAGTTTGCCCTTTTTCTTGCTTCCCATTTTTATTTCTTTGCCCTTTTTCTTGTCTCCCATTTTTATTTCTTTGCTCTTTTTCTTATCACCCATTTTTATTTCTTTGCCCTTTTTCTTGCTTCCCATTTTTCTTTCTTTGCCCTTTTTCTTGCTTCCCATTTTTCTTTCATTGCCTTTTTCTTGTCTCCCATTTTTAATTCATTGACTCTTTTCTTGTCTACCATTTTTATTTCTTTGACCTTTTTCTTGTTTACAATTTTATTTCTTTTGCCCATTTTTATTTTTTTCTTTTCACCCATGTTTATTTCTTTGCTCTTTTTCTTGCTTCCCATTTTTATTTCTTTGCCCTTTTTCTTGCTTCCCATTTTTATTTCATTGCCCTTTTTCTTGTCTCCCATTTTTATTTCTTTGCCATTTTTCTTGTCTCCCATTTTTATTTCTTTGCTCTTTTTCTTGTTTACCATTTTTATTTCTTTGCCCTTTTTCTTGTCTCCCATTTTTATTTCTATGCCCTTTTTCTTGTCTCCCATTTTTATTTCTTTGCCCTTTTTCTTGTTTAACATTTTTATTTCTTTGCTTTTTTTCTTGCTTCCCATTTTTATTTCCTTGCCCTTTTTCTTGTCTCCCATTTTTATTTCTTTGCCCTTTTTCTTGTTTACCATTTCTATTAGTTTGCCCTTTTTCTTCCTTCCCATTTTTATTTCTTTTTGCCCTTTTTCTTGTCTCCCATTTTTTATTTCTTTGCCCTATTTTTTTTTTCTTGTTTACCATTTCTATTTTGTTCCCATTTTGCCCTTTTTCTTCCTTCCCATTTTTATTTCTTTGCCCTTTTTCTTGTCTCCCATTTTTATTTCTTTGCCCTTTTTCTTACCTCCCATTTTTATTTCTTTGCCCTTTTACTTGCTTCCCATTTTTATTTCTTTGCCCTTTTTTCTTGTTTTACCATTTTATTTCCTTGCCTTTTTTTCTTCTCTCCCATTTTTTATTTCTTTGCCCCATTTTCTTGTTTACCATTTCTATTAGTTTGCCTTTTTTTTTCTTGCTTCTTTGCTTATTTTTTTTTTTTTTTTTTTTCTTTTGCCCTTTTTCTTGTCTCCCATTTTATTTTTTTGCCCTTTTCTTGTTTACCATTTTTATTTCTTTGCCTTTTTTCTTGCTTCCCTTTTATTTTTGCCCTTTTTCTTTTCCCATTTTATTTCTTTGTTTTCCATTTCTATTAGTTTGCCCTTTTTCTTGCTTCCCATTTTATTTCTTTGCCATTTTTCTTGACTCCATTTTTATTTTTTTGCCCTTTTTTCTTGTCTACCATTTTTTATTTCTTTTCCATTTTTATTTTTTTTCTTGTTTACCATTTCTATTAGTTTGCCCTTTTTCTTGCTTCCCATTTTTATTTCTTTTGCCCTTTTCTTATCTCCCATTTTTATTTTTTTTGCCCTTTTTCTTGCTTCCCATTTTCTTTCTTTTGCCTTTTTTTTTCTTGCTTCCCATTTTTCTTTCATTGCCTTTTTCTTGTCTCCCATTTTTAATTCATTGACTCTTTTCTTGTCTACCATTTTTATTTCTTTGACCTTTTTCTTGTTTACAATTTTTATTTCTTTGCCCTTTTTTCTTTTCTCCCATGTTTATTTCTTTGCTCTTTTTCTTGCTTCCCATTTTTATTTCTTTGCCGTTTTTCTTGCTTCCCATTTTTATTTCATTGTCCTTTTTCTTGCTTTCAATTTTTATTTCATTGCCCTTGTTCTTGTTTCCCATTTTTAATTATTTGCTTATTTCCTTTTTCCTTTTTTTTATTTCATTGCCCTTTTTCTTGTCTCAATTTTTTATTTCTTTGCTTTTTTCTTGCTTCCCATTTTTATTTCTTTTGCCCTTTTCTTGTTTCCCATTTTTATTTTTTATTTTGCCCTTTTTTTTCCCTTCCCATTTTTTATTTTTTTCCTTTCTTTTCCCATTTTTTTCTTGTCTCCCATTTTTATTTTTTTTGCCATTTTCTTATATCCCATTTTTATTTCTTTGCCCTTTTTCTTGCTTCCCATTTTTATTTCTTTGCCCTTTTTCTTGTCTCCCATTTTTATTTCTTTGCCCTTTTTCTTGACTCCCATTTTTATTTTTTTGCCATTTTTCTTGTCTCCCATTTTTATTTCTTTGCCCTTTTTCTTGTTTACCATTTCTATTAGTTTGCCCTTTTTCTTGTCTCCCATTTTTATTTCTTTGCCCTTTTTCTTGTTTACCATTTCTATTAGTTTGCCCTTTTTCTTGTCTTCCATTTTTATTTCTTTGCCCTTTTTCTTGTTTACCATTTCTATTAGTTTGCCCTTTTTCTTGCTTCCCATTTTTATTTCTTTGCCCTTTTTCTTGTCTCCCATTTTTATTTCTTTGCCCTTTTTCTTATCTCCCATTTTTATTTCTTTGCCCTTTTTCTTGCTTCCCATTTTTATTTCTTTGCCCTTTTTCTTGTTTACCATTTTTATTTCTTTGCTTTTTTTCTTGCTTCCCATTTTTATTTCCTTGCCCTTTTTCTTGTCTCCCATTTTTATTTCTTTGCCCTTTTTCTTGTTTACCATTTCTATTAGTTTGCCCTTTTTCTTGCTTCCCATTTTTATTTCTTTGCCCTTTTTCTTATCTCCCATTTTTATTTCTTTGCCCTTTTTCTTGCTTCACATTTTTATTTCTTTGCCCTTTTTCTAGCTTCCCATTTTTATTTCTTTGCCCTTTGACTTGTTTACCATTTTTATTTCTTTGCTTTTTTTCTTGCTTCCCATTTTTATTTCATTGCCCTTTTTCTTGTCTCCCATTTTTATTTCTTTGCCCTTTTTCTTGTCTCCCATTTTTATTTCTTTGCTCTTTTTCTTGTTTACCATTTTTATTTCTTTGCCCTTTTTCTTGTCTCCCATTTTTATTTCTATGCCCTTTTTCTTGTCTCCCATTTTTATTTCTTTGCAACATATCTCACTGAACAATTATTCGTTCATCATTATTATTGTATTAATATCAGCAGATCTTACAAAACCATTAACTTCACTCTGTAGGTTAAATAAATTACAGTTTCTGTTTAACAATTAGAAATTATATGAACGAAGACTTTCGTCTTTTATTCATAATCCAGCGATCTGTATTTATTCATCAGGTGTTCAATCCGTTGAAGCCATATACGAACCACGAGGCTCAAATTACGTAAATTTAAAAAAAAAAATGTAGCCTGTGTCGTTGGTATACTTAAAGGCATCTCTGCCATATAAGATCAAAATATGTACAAAGTTAATCCTATATTTTAATATAACAAGGAAGATTATATACACTTTTAAACTTGATAAAAAAACACCATTTTCCAGAATTTTATGGAGGATACAATGTTGGTTTTAGGTTTTATTTTTTGTAATTTATTCGCATGGAAATTTTTAATGGATTTAAAGGTAACTAATATAAGAAGAAACAATCTGTTTTAGGGAGGATTGGAGATCTGCTCATTTAAATATTTTCCCGGAAGTGTTTCGCCGTAAGTAGATGTTTCACATGCGGTTGAGAGTTAGAAAACTATTCATAAATTTGTAAAGGACGATGTTGAAAAAATTTTAAACAGAATTATCTTTCTTGGATCACTCTTAATGTTATTTCAGTTTGATCACTGAATGCGTTCTTTGTAGAGTTTGCTTGAACGGGACTAGGAGTTTAGTTTTTCGAATAAGATTTTCCACTTTGTGGACATAATTTTACAACCCGGTGAGCTGAAACAAAAATGCGTTTCGAAAGACTTTTGTTTTTTTTTTCAAATGAATGGACTAAAAATGAAATGAATCAACTTGATTAAAACAAAGTATTTTTGGCGTTATTTTTTTCGCAAATATATCAAATTAAAAATAAATAAAATCACTAGTTTTAAGTATAAAATCCATTTAAGGAAAACCTGCATAAAAATAAAAAGAGGACTGCATTTTTGTATTGACATCTGCAACTCACAGATATTTGTCCGATGTGAAAATAATTAGGATTATTGGTTAATCGTAATTGCACCCGAAAACTTGGGATACATATGTTACTTATTCGCCCCCCCCTCCACAAGTCCTTGAGAGAAAGTTCTTGCTACCATTAATGAAAATATACGAACTGAATACACAAAAAGAATATTGCTATATGGATATTTAAAAAAATAAGGAAACTGTAATATCTTAAAAAAAAAACAAAAAAAAACAAAAAACAAAAAAAACAAAAAACAAAAAGATTTCATTTTAAAAATGTTTGTTTTGTTAAATATGTAGGAAAACGATTGAAACAATTCCCACTATGACTTTCTTAATAGCACACACATATATACGTGTCTATGCAGTCATCGAAATTAATAAGTAAACAGAGTTGATATGCGAAGTACATACAGGAATGCAATCGTGAGTTTATAGTACAGACTCCCACATAGGCAGTCGGGCTCTAAACGCATGTTGGCTTTGTTATGAATCGTGCATTACACGCAAAGACGGGTGGGTGGGTGTGTAGTGAGTATCAGCGTGTTGAGAGAGAGAGGAGGGAGGGGGGAAGGTGCAAGATGGAGAAAGAGAGAGAGAGAAGAAAAGAAGAGAGAGATGAAAAAAGTCCAAGTCTAATAGAAAAAAAGTGAAGGAAGAACGCTTGATCTTGGGGAAGAGGGAAAAGAATCTAGAACAAAGAGAAAGATATATGAGTATTGAAATAGTTCAAGATAATGAGAAAGAAAACGAGAGCGAGAAGAGGGAAAGGAATACAAGACAAAGAGACAGAGAGGTAAAAGGGAAAGACAACGAAAAAGAGTGTGTTTGTGACAGAAGGAAAATCCGAGACAAAGAGATAGAAGGAAAGAGAGAGATAAGAGCAAATTGCCAAATATTTGTAGCTTGATGAGTGTATCATCATCGCCGTCATCTCCAATCAAGCAGCGGTAAGATCAAAGGGAATCACAGATGTCTTAATTGATGAGGAATGTTTCGACAGAGGCTGACATGGTTGCCAGTCAATAAGTGAGACACAAAATGGAGGAACGGAGGACGGAAGGAGAAAAGGGTGAGATAGAAAATGTGTGTTTGTGAGAGGGTGGGAGCCGACTCTTTATCTTACCTATCCTCCTCACACCCACCCACCTTCTATTCTTAACAGTCTCTTCTGCCACGGCCCCTTTTTTTGCAACTTCTTTTATCGGAACCCTCCCTTAACACACATTACCAAAATTCTACACTCGTCCCCACCCATGAGCAAACTTCCCCCATGAACAAGCGTTACCTGAAACACTCCCCCTTTCTTTCCTTTTACATTATTATTTATTTATTTAATTATTTATTTTTAAATTTTGTTTCTCATTTTGGTGCTTCTTGTTTTTAAAAGCCGACAGGAAAAAAAAAACTAAAAGCAAAGAAAACTGAATGAGAACAAAAGAAAAAAACAGTGTGTGACACATAAAGGGTTGCCGAATGGATGCGTTAAGTTGCTTTTTGTTAAAAAAAAAGAAAAGAAAAAAAAGGGACACCGACTTCCTCTTTTTTTCCTCTTTCCCGTAGCTGCGGGTGTTCATGAAACATTGAGGTGAAGTCTAAATGTATTTATGACTTATGTGTGTGTGTGTAAGAGGGAGACAGAGACACAGAGAACGTGAAAGAGAAAAGAAGATCACGCACACACGCATAAACACACACATATATATAAAAGGGAAGGAGAGAGGAAAAAATTCATAAGGAGGTAGACAAATCTATTTACTTGTATTATCATATCTTGGAATTCAGAAATCCGTTTAAGATAGATTTTAGTTATTTCCTGGAAATATCTTGAAACAACACAATTTTCAATAATATGCATTGAGGTGGTTGAGTGTAAAAGTGAAAGTTCGTTGTATATTGATGAATATATAAATATCTCTCGCACACATGTGTGCCTGAGTGTGTGTGCGTTTATACACACACACGCGCGCGCACACACACACACACACAGACATACACACACACATATATATGGGGGTGATATAAACAAATACAAATAGCAAATGTTTATATAAGAACAAATAGCAAATATTTATATAACATGTTTCGCTTTTGTTAAAGCCTCATCAGAGAATGAGATATGGAAAAAGTTTATGGTATTATTTTTGTATTGTTTAATTTTTATTGTTTATTTCCATTTGACTAGTCAAGTAGCGTTCATGTTATCCGCACGAACGATCACAATTCTAGTTTGTCTATGCGGGATTCGGATGATAGTGTGTGTGTGTGTGTGTGTGTGTGTGTGTGTGTGTGTGTGTGTGTGTGTGTAGTAGGCATTATTTCTGTCTGGAAGTTGTCCGCATGTTTGTTAATCAATGGAAATCAAACACAAATATAAAAATATCAGACAATACTTTCATGAATCTTTACAAACGTTACCTATTTGTTCTTTATCCTATCATTCTGTCGGATTTCCATCCATATTTGATCTTTACTCTATACCTATATATAATATAATGTATGTGTGTGTGTATCTGTATGTGTGTGTGCGTGTGTGTGTGTGTGTGTGTGTGTGTGACAATATAAATCTCTCTCTCTCATATATATATATATATATATATATATATATATATGAGGGAGAGAGAGACTGCTATCGCTTAATCGCTGTCAGTAATTATGTTATTAATGTTATTAATGTGCTATGAAGGCAATAATAATAGAAGCAAACATGTAAAATTCACAGTTATTGCTAAGAACTTTATGTAACTGTTGTTATAATGATTTTCTGAAGTAATTCTTGTTGCAATGTATAATTTATTTATGTCAACACGATTGTAAAGCTCTTGAGGACAACAACCGGTTTAAATGCTAAGATAAACATAAAAGTAAAGAACCCCAAATTATATGAAATCAAAGAAATTTTATTTTTTTAGTTTTGTGAAGTTTAGGAAAAAACTGTTCAGTGAGATTTGAAATCGTAACTGCACTGTTTAGTTTAATTATCTTGACAGGGGAACGTCAGTTAAAAGTTTTGATGAGTTTATTCTGTTGCCGAATAAAATTCTGTAAACCTTTACAGAAATTTACTGAAAGTATGTTATGTTCTGTGTACCTTCAACGATCGTGAGACATTATTTTTAAGATAAGAATAGAAAGTTGAAAAGGAGCTAATGTAGCGTTTATGCGCTTAATCCAAAGTTTGAAATGAAGGTCGTTTTACATGTTATGAATGTGCGCACCTAGATTAAAACAAAATTTATTGATAGCAGGTTGAATTTTTATGTAAAGGACTTCCAGTATTTTTAATTGCTTTTTCAATTTGCGTTACTATCATATTGTCAACCAAAATCTGATGGATATTAGAAAGGATGCCGTGAATTTGTACTATATGTTTACATTGGGCACTTTGTTTGGAGAACTGAGAGGTCATTCTTCCCGAGAGAAATTTTGTGGTATGACCAATATATGTTGATGTATTTGTATTATTATCTACAGAGACATAGTCAAAGGACAATATAACTGGTTTACAACATTAGCTTTTTGTAAAGTAGTTTTGTGGAGAAGAGATGTTTGTTAACCACAAAGTTACATTTTTATAATATGATGAATATTAGGAGATTGTTACTGTCTACAGGAGAAATATTTTATGGATTATATTTCAGTTGCTTTTTTATGTGATTGAAAAGCATCTGATTACAGCAAAATAAGTTAATAGTTTATTTGTTGTGGTTTATATCCAGATTATTACCAATGTTACAATGATTGGTTGTCTATAAAATTGAACACGTGATATGATTAAGGAAAAACATCATTACTAATTGTTTGATATCGGATATTTTTTTTATAAAATATTGTAGAAGAAGGGATTTATTTTGTACGATTGAAAATAAGATATCGTTTTGAAGATTACTCTTCTCTACCATCAAGTAGATATTTTGACTGATTTAATAAAAGCATAATGGCCCACGTACGTAAAACGAACAGATGAAGAAGAATTCTATTACTTAGACTAAAAGCAATA